GATTTTTGGTCGAGCTTAAAAATACCCTACAGTAGAGACACTTTACAGCAAATACAACAGCACAGTTTAGAGAAAACGACACCCTCTGTCCTTAGACCCTAACATCGTACAATNTTGCATGTGTGCTGTGTTAACTGTCTAAGTCAGGGGTTTTCAAAGTGTGGGAAGGTGAGCCTCCCCTCAGAGAACATAAGAACAGCCACGCCCCCACTCCCAAATATTATTGTTGTTGTTGTTGCTATAATGCAGGGGTATTCAATTGCATTTCAAAGAGGTCCAGTAACTGTGTTTGAATCTATCTACTGGAGTGGGGGCGTGGCTGTTCTTATGTTCTCTGAGGGGAGGCTCACCTTCCCACACTTTGAAAACCCCTGACTTAGACAGTTAACACAGCACACATGCAAACATGAATAACAAGTGGACCATGAGTAAAAGCAGCCAATTGCAATGACAACAGAAAGACAGCTAATGATCCCCCATGCCGGGTGTCAGGCGGCTGGTGTGAGGGCCAGAGGGTCTGACCGGAGCCGCGTCGGGGGCTTGTAGATCGGCTGTAAGAGCTTTCTAATTGCCTAAACTCCAGTGAGTGCCTGCTGCTCTCCATGTATGCAGCTGCCATGAATATAACTCATCTTGTGTCATAAAAAGTACATTTTTGATTTAGAATAACTTGTCTTTTAAAAGATAACGAAGCCATGCTGGATTCATTATCTCCCGAAAACAAATCCACACTAGCCATAATTGCTCATCTTCAGTGCAAGGCATAGACGCAGCTGGAGGAAATATTGAGCATGTGTAAAGATACATGTGCCATCACTGCAAAACTTCTGGCTGCAACTCTTGTTTTGTCAGCAGATACTTTGTAATATTTTTGCTTTTTCCTATCGAACTCAGTGCAGCTGGTTGAATAAAAAAAACATAAATATGCAGCCCACGTTGGATTTTGAAAGGTAAGGTAGAGTTATACTGTTGGGAAGCACTGCCGGAGTGAGAAATTGCAGGCACTCCAGGCAATTTGCAATTATCTCAAATCTCTGATCGCGACAATCAGATTAATATTGCCTTTTGGATATCAGATTTTCATCTAAACAAAACAGACCCAGTTAGATATTCAGTCAAGGCATCAGAATCATATTTAATAACACTTGGATAAAGCAAAGAAGTGGGACAAACATGCCTCTCCACTCGGTGACCTTGTGGAACCCTGAAGTGTGTCTCTGTTTCTCTCAGACTGATTGCTATGCTGCCGCCACATCACTGGCCTGATGTGAGTGATGATGGAGGACTTACTTAACTCCATCCGGCATTGACAGGAGGAAGGAAACACTGTGTCCTATACATGAATATCAACTACAGAGCAGTGCTGGGCTGGGACGCCCTCTGTTGGTCATTGTTAGTATGGAGCAATCAAAAATGTAGGGACTATACAGTATCCTCCTGGGACCCGAGGGAAAAAAGTGTCTTCCAATTTCCTTTTTTTTTNATTATGATTCTACTTGTGATAGTCGGACATGACAACCTGTGCAGCCCATGTATTGATTCCATACGATAGCTGCTATAATACAAAACAAAATGTCTGCCTGCCCTCCACAATGATCAATGACAGCGAACGGATGGTCAAAGTAAGGTACAAATAAACAGAATCAGACAAAGCCTGGTTAGTGTTGCCTGACTTTATAAAGTGTGTTTTTTTACAAGTGTGTGGTTGCGTTCTAGTCACTTTGCTCAGTGCTACTGCTTGTTACAACTTGTATTTGCCGTACTCGCCATAGACTGTTAGCTAAGGTTAATCTCGCCCTCCTCCGACGTAAGCGTGACGTATGCGGTTCTCGCTTCTAAACCGAAAATGTTTTGGTGCTTGGTAAGAACCGGTTTTCGGGGAAAAGAGCCGGCTCCGCTGCGGTGTGAACAGGAAAAACCAGTGCTTATCAGGCTCAAGCTCCGAACCGGCCCTGGAACCGCGTTGGTGTGAAATGGGCATATGAGGAGATTCGGGTGATAAGGTGGGGGGGGGGTTACCGTGGTTGGTGACAATCGAGTCCTTCTGCTTTGAATGGAAACACGTTTTTTCCCTCCTGTCTGCAGGTCAGCCTGTGTGTGCTCCTGCTGCGTTACCAACCTGAGTCGGACATCCATGGCTTTGTGAACTTCCTGTCCGAGGAGCAGAACAACAAGAAAAAGGAAGGCGTGCTGGCTGAGTGCGAGAAAGAAGCCTGTTCACCAACCAGCGAAGCAGATGAGTTCGGAGGCGCGGCCACGAACACCTGCGGAGCCAAAAACCTGCCGTCGCTGGGGGACAACGAGATGCTGATAGGCAAACCAGATAAAAACGCCTACACCGCCAGCCACCCAAACTACGGCACGGTGGATATGACCACTGGCATCGAAGCAGAAGAGGAAGAGGGCGTGTTGTCCCGGCGGTTGAAGAAGCTCATTGGACCCCGCTACTACACCTTGAGGATCCGATTGGGCCTCCCGGGAAAGATGGACAGGCCCACTCCAGCCACGGGGAAAGTTGTCACTATGTGTGTGCTGCTCCTCTTCATTTCCATCTTCGCTTTCTGCTCCTTCATCATCTTTGGTGAGAACACAAGAACTCATTCAGACAGGAGTTCACTATATAATGTTTAAATGAATTTGAACAAATTGTTTTTGTTTTCTTTCCTTCCAGGATCGAGCAGTATCGGGGAGGGTCGCTGGTGGGCTCTGCTGCTGTTAATCTTCTTCATCACCTTCCTTGTCTTGCTCGTCATCATCATCCTCCAGCAGCCAGAGAACCCAAAGCGTCTGCCCTACATGGCGCCCTGTGTGCCCTTTGTACCTGTTTCAGCCATGCTGGTCAACATCTACCTCATGCTCAAACTGTCTGCCATCACCTGGATACGATTCTCTATCTGGTGCCTCGTGGGTAAGCCCCCACCTCACTGAATAACAGTTTGTCTTACATTTAGATTTGTGTCTTTTATTGCCAGATTTAAAGACAGGATCTGCGTGTAAACGTCATCCTAGATAGATGGAAACTCCCCATGTTATGATCCTAAACCATGGAGAGATACATTTCATTACTGTGTCGAGTGTTTGTTTATCGATGAAGTCTCATTTCACTTTTATTTCCTGCCTCCGTTGTATCTGTCTGTACATCTGTATTTATCTGTGTGAGTGCATGCGAGTGTTTTGGTTGGTGTGTAAATGTTCCCAGCATGCAGTTCAACTTACCATTGTGTCGCTTCTTTGTAGTTTTCAGAATATATGCAGTTTTTGTGCAAACAGAATAACTGCTGTATTCTTCCAACTCACTGAATTGTTTTTACCACTTGATAGAGCATTTACTCTTTCTCTGTGCTTTTACATTTGTGTATGACCTCCTACAATATTGCTAAAATCTCTGATTGTGTATGTATTTGTGAATATATTTTGATATGTGCGTCCCTTCAGGTGTTCTAATCTACTTTGGCTACGGCATGTGGAACAGCAAGCTGGAGAAAACGGCCCGAGAGAACGAGGTGCACGCCTCCACCTACCAGCGCTACGACCACGGTGTGGACGAAGGCTTCTGCGGCTTCGACGATGATTTCCTCCCGCCTACCACTGACGCCTGGGGTGCGCAGGCGGGAGGTTCGGGACTCACCCCGCCCCCTGCGGCCAAGCCCGAAATTGACGGGTCGCCAGCGAAAGATGGAGGCAGGACCGTTGCCAAACAAAACCTCGCAGAGGAGGATCCGATGGATTTCTGAAGGGACTGACTCTGTGTTACCCTGAATGTACTGCCTTGTCTGCTGCCTGGGGAAAGGGAGGGGGAACAGTAGTGTGAACGCATGAATGATTGTGTGTGTGTATGTGTGTGCGCGTGTGTGTGCATGCCTGCATGTGTGTGTATTTGTTTGTGTGGCTAACCCTTGGGCTAGATAGTTTCGACTTATTATTCAGTTTACTCAACCACGCTCCGCAGCTCACACAGCAAATGAGGACTTCAAGGTCAAATGTCTTGCCACACTCACTTGTTATTCACTGGAGTCCACCGCCTACCCAAAGTAAAGACAGATAGGAAAGTGTCGACGTTACTGAATACCTAGAAATGTACAGGAGAGGAGAAGGTGGTGAGGGAGGGACAGATGAATCAGCACCTCTCTTCCTGTTTCAACGGAGACAGACAGGAAAGCTAGATGACAGAACGCCAAACCCAAACTACTTCCTATGAACAGGTCTGACTGTCTCTGCATGTTTCACAGGAAAACAGCTTCACATGCTCTCGAAAACACCAACAAATCATAAACGTTTGTCTCCGTCCTCAATCATTTCCCCTGACCCCTGATATCTAGCCCAAGGGATAAGAACTGGACTGGGAAGAGGGTGTTGGTGTTTTCTGTCACAAATAGTACTTGGACTTTGCTTGCAATAGTGCCTTCATCTTCTGTATGTGTATGTGAGTTTCTTATTATGTCTGTTTTCTACTTTAATTTTGCCTGTGTATGTGTGAGGGTGTATGTGCAATCTAATTCAACCTTTTACATTGATGCTCATGACTGTGTGTGTGTTTGTAGATATTAAGTGAGGTTATTTTACCGTGTATGTGTAGGTATTTGTTTCGTTAAGTTCTTCCCAATTTTTACCCCAGCATGAAGCTCAAAATCAACCCGCCCGCCCGCCACACATCAGCTCATGGTGCAATATAACACAAACACACAGCTCATTGGTGTAACCTAGAAGAGGAGAGAGAAGAGGGAACACAGGTTGAATCCTAATTGACAACCTTCATGGTTTATTGTGATTAACGTCATATTTGCGTCTCTCCACTGATGCACTTCTTGCTTTTTCCTAGGGCTGGAAAGGAATTAATTTTCAGTTCATTCAATTCAGGAAATGGGTTTTATACGGAGCGTGCAGTTTTTCTCCTAGAGATGACAAAAATATAGAGACTGTAGAAAAATGGTTATTATTGAGAAAAAGAAATTATTGAGAAATGTGGGGATTTTTGATGAAAAGAGGGCAGTTTGAAATGTTTTGTAAGAGCAGGTGAGGGTCGCTTTTTTTCTCTTCTCCCAGATTGTTCGTAAATTATGAATGAATTAAATTGTACTTTACAATTAAATTTTAATTTAATATTGGGGGACATTACGTCAGATTTAGTCTCTAAATCAGTGATTGCATTGTAAATACTTAGAGAAAAATGTGACACTTACTGAACTGAAATATAATCCCTCCTCTTCCATCCCTCTCCCTTTCTGATCCCCTCTTTTGCTATTAAATATCATACATGTGTGCATTCTCTTCTTCCACCACCCCTCTGCTCTCCCAGCCCAACTCTTCCTCTTCCTCTTCATCTGTTTGCCACCTCACCGCTCTTGATATCCATCCGGCCATGTCGGCAGGGAGTTTCCACTTAGTCACAAGTGATGGAGCCGGGATTGCTTTTCAGTCAGGATGTGGATGCCAATCTGTTCATGGCCTGATGATACCTTAACTCCTGTTTCACCTCAGGGTGTCTGCTATCTCCCTTCTGATTTGTCACTGGAGAATTTACTCTTCTCCAACCCCCTGGTCTGAACTAGTCTAAGTGAACCTCCCTGTTGACCGTCCCTGTTCATGTAGCTAGTGTTGAAGCCCCACTCCTTTCGTGTTACCTACACTTTTGCTGCACCCCGAAGAGATTTTGTGAAAATCAATCAAATCAAAAATGTTCCTGTAGAGCTCAGTGTGTAGGACATTTAAGCTTTAGCTGCCAGGGTTGGGGGTTTGATTCCATACTAAGAATGTAAGCACTCTTGGCACTGTAAGGGATTTTGGCACACACCAAATAGCATACAGTTATGTTATTATGCTGAGGGCCGGGGCACTCCTACAAAAGCTGCTGTATGGCCAAATTGTCCTTCTTGTACCTTTTCTTCTTGCCCCCTGTTGCTGCATATATCCCTTCCTGGGAAGCCTTATTTGTCTAATGCACTAAATCTAAGGATGCCACGCTAAACCCCACCCTACCTCTGCTACTCCCGCATCTATCCTCACTCAGAAAAAGCTGTTTCTTTCATGTATTGAAAGCCCTTTGGTGTCGTCCTTTGAAATGATTATAATACCCGTACCCAAAAAACTGCCCATTGTTCCGAGGAATTACACTTTTATTGGATGATTCTGCAGCTTTCTAATGAAGGAAGTCGTGAGTGTTTCCGTTACGTAGTGGAACATTAGGTTGATGAGGTTTGCGGTGCCCATCAGAGACCAATCATGGCCGTATGGCTAACATTAAGCTCATGTCTAGTGTTTGCTTTCTAGAAATGTGGGTGGTATAGTGACTTGGACGGTGTTTACATTCTACAATGGTGTATATTTTACAAACTCAATTCAACTACATGTTGGCCAACAACGCAGATCAGTATTTCATGTACTGTAGGGAATTTCATGTAGCGAAATAAATATTTATGGAAAACAAAATAAAAAAGTATATACTTCTTTTTGGTGTCTTGTCAAAATTGTCAGAGAGGATAAGACTGCGTTTTTGGGGACTTGGACTCATGACTAGTATTTTTGAAATTGTTGCTATAGCTCTTAGTAATAAAATTGTAATGCCTTCTTTTAATGTAAACATATTTCCGAAGTCATTTGTTAGAGTAGCCTATTTAACCTTTACTGTAGTGTAGACAGTTAGGAAGGACATTGAGGAAGAGAATATTATGCAAATGTAGTTTATATTTTGGCACAAAGAAACATCAAGCTCAGTGCAGCAGGGGAGTCGGGAGTTGCCCAAATAGTTGTTGCTATGCATTTGGATTGTAGATCTTATATTAAAAAAGTTGTTGCCATTGAACATAGTTTGAGGTCTTGCAGAATTGTCCAATATTAAAGTTTTTTTCCGGGGTTGGAAAAAAACAGCCCATCCTTAAACATTCACACACTTTATCTCACACAATTTCAAGCATTTATTAGATTATATTGAACTATTCCCTCCACCCAGATCACCTCAAGTCAGCTAAAACAATCCAGATGTTTTCATTCATAGCTCAAATATGTGTTCAGCCAAAACAAGGCAGCAAATACAGCCTGACACTTCGACACTGTACTGTACAGTCGACCTACCATAGCCTATTACCGGCTGTGTGTGTGTATGCAAGTGTGTGAATGCATGTACAGTGTGTGTACGTGTGATCTATGCCTGCGCCTCAACGTGACCCTGTGGTGAATGTGTAGCATGCTTTCATGCACGAGGCTCTGACCGTAAATGTTGTTCCTGCATGTGGTGACTGAGCGCTGCGAGACATAATACAACACTAAACCAAAACAAACGCAGGCCTACTTCTTACACCTGGGAGCGCTGGCCTCTCTGCTCTGAGAAGATTTAACAGGTGTAATACAAGCAAAGCAGCTTCAAAAACCTCATTGTTCTAAACTCTTACCAGAGAGTGAACTGAATGCTGTTGTGTACAATGCAGACTCCTATGATTTAGATTCAGATTCAAACCCAGACCTTTTCTTTACTGTATGTTACAATTTGAATTGTACCGGCTTAGAAGATTACTTTCTGGATTCTCTCCTATTTCTTTAAGCTCACACAGTAATATTCTCACATCGAAATTGGAACCAGAAAATGTAGCAACAAACAGGTGTGACAATGACTCCTCTCTCACCCTCCCTTACAGCATGCCTACTTCCTGTAAATCTCTTTTCTTAACCAAAACCTCTGCAAACCAAAGTCCACCATTTTTTTTGTTTACTGATCACACACAGGAGACTTTAGTTTCTTCAAAGTAAACACTTAAGATACAAAAGAGATAACCATTTTGCTTGGTGGTCTGCTAATAGCTACTGATTTCAGTTTGTCACAAGGAGGTGTTTTTCTTGTCACAAGCAACAGTGCAATGGTGATTTTTAAAACCCTAGTTGCTAAGCATTAGTCTAGATTTAATTGGCTACAGCGGATTGTCCAAAAGTTATAAAAAACATTAAAAAAACTTATTTTTCTACAACTGTTTCCCAGTCACAGGTCCTCCTCGAGTAGGTGTGCACAACAAAAGCTGGGTAGGGTTATCAATATCAGCATTCACCTTCTCCATTTGTGTTAAGTCATAAGGAGGCCTGGGAGAAACTGCTACAATATATTTTTAACAAGTGTAATCTGTAGTGATAAGGCTCATTTATAAAGCTTAATCCCTTACTTTCAAGGGTTTCGAAAAATGGTTTCTTTTGACGTCAATAGGAACGTAGAAGGTTTGGAAATACTACAGAAAACAAGCATCTATTTTAATACAATCATATAATAAAGGGAGCATATACAAGCATAATCCAATTTTGCCACCATTGCTTTGAAAGTCAGCTATTATTTGTTTATTTTGTCTCGGAGAAGGAGTGCCATGTTCTTCTTGTGCTCTGTGTTCGCTGTGGCCAAGTGTCGACTCAGTGTGTGCCAGACTGTGAGGTTGGCTTTTCTTGCAAACAAATAGATATTCCTTTACTCTTCTGTATATTTTGTCACAAATCTGTATAATGTAGTTGTTTTGTATGTACATTTTTTAATGGTTTCTTCCATATGTGTGGTTATATTTGCTTCTGGTTGCACTGTTTTTTGCTGAGTTGTTATTGCTTCCATGCAACAATGAAAAGCTATTTATTGCAAATACAAAGAGGCTTGCTCATTTTTTGAACGTTTTCTGTGCTTATAATTACAATGACAATACATGATATACAATGACATCATAAATCAGTCATATTACTGACAGCAGACCAGCTAGACCAGGGCTAGACTTGAAAGAAAAAGAGACGGACAATCAAAAACAGCTAACATTAGCCCATTAGCATCTTCCACTTTGGTTGGTGCTCAAGCTAGCTACCTTCCTGAGCTAGCTAGCTTGGAGAGGTCATGCTACTGAGCCCAAGCATGTTCCTACTAGCTTGCTAACATCCTTGCAAGTATACGATACGATAATACTTTAATGGTCAGGTGAGGTCTGAAATGTAACTTGCATCACAGCAGCTACCTTGGTTGCTGATTGGCTAATGGTTACTCAAGCCAAAACATCGTTATGACATCATAAAGTGGCCAAAATCAGTTTTTTATATAAATGGATCAGGACAAAAAGAGAGAGAATCTTTTTTCCTGAAACTTTCAGAGTCTCTTTACACAGAGGGGACACATGTTGATGTAGAAGAGACATGAAAAAGTGGATTTTGCATAATAGGTGACCTTTAAAACAAAGTGTGTATCCCAGATTCGTTGGTTTAAAAGCATGATAGACATTCAAGCCAAAGGATTCTTTCTACACTGCACTGGTCAACAGGTGGCAGTCACATGTCATGAAAGCCAATAAGGAAGACAACAGGCAAGTAAACATGAATCCTAACAAAACGGGGTTCAAACTATTAAGAAAAGTTGTGCAAATGCTTTATGAGGAATGAAATGCATTCAACCTTTTTGATGGACCTCAATGTCCATGAATTACTCAGCAGAGCACCTTCAATATTATATTTACAAAAGCTTCAAGTTGTTCACTGCATCTTTCTCAGTCAAATTTGCACGTTCAATCCATAGCCTTTAAGCAGCACAGTTATTGTACACTTCTGTTAACTGAAAGTGAAAGCTGTGATGTCTTTCACTCAGAACAGTGGTTTATATTGATTCTTCACAAAACTACAAATTCTTAGAGCAAAAAAAACCTATTTGTCCACCGGCACTGTAGCTTCAAGAAACCAGAACACAACACATGAGTTTATATCAGAGGGCTCGACTCTCCCTCTCTGTATTCCTCTAACATGATTGCTATGATTTTCTTCCTCTCACCTTCCACACATCCGGAGGGGAGACGGTCATGGGAGTTATCTGGGTGTTGATAAACGGTATTCTGGGAAGTGAAACGTGAACGAAATGTACACCAAAGTAGAAATACACAAGTCAGTTGGAAGGACGGTGGATACAGCAAAGTAAAATACTTAATCAAAACATAATTGCTGGAAAGGAATATCACAGAGGACTAGTGTTTGTGTATGATAATGTCCTGAATCTCTGTTCAAACTTGAGTCAACAATAGAACATATTGGTAGATAGAAACTAAAGATAGCACCTTTTTAGCATAGCGTATAATAACAGCGCCAGTCTCTTACAGTAATATAGGACCGCTTGGTTAGCCACTATCCTTCCCCTGGCTTCCTGTGGACGGGATGGCTGTGTGCCTCGAACAGCATCACATTTCAGAGTATACACACACACCGACATGATCGCAATCCTGATACATTTTCGGGAATGATGTGCAGAAAGGAAAGACGGCTGCGTGTGGTTGTCTGAAGATAAGCTGAGCACAAAGAAGAGATAGCAAATATTGTTTTTAAAAGTATCGTAAAATATAGGATTTGACTCAGCGACCTTGATATGAACAAAGGAGCACAAAGTAAACCACACACTGGACACAATTATCTTTATTTGTTGCTGTGTGTGTGTGTTGTGGTTAACAGGGGAGGGCTTGTACAGTGTGTATCGCTGAGTGTCCTAGACAGATTCCTCTGTGCTGACCTGACTCAGGGTCACTGAGTCTCATTACAGATATGGTGCATACATAACCATTCATGTTTTTCTCATTGTTCTCAGCTTATATTCACACAAACAGGGAAACATATACCAAACACAGCAGGGCAGTGATTGCTGTATCACACACACACACACACACACACACACGCACGCACGCACGCACGCACGCACGCACGCCGCACACGCACGCGCACGCACGCACACACACACACACACACACACACACACACACACACACACACACACACACACACACACACACACACACACACACACACACACACACACGCACGCACGCACGCACGCACACACACACACACACACACACACACACACACACACGCACACACGCACACACACGCACACGCACGCGCACGCGCACGCACACACACACACACACACACACACACACACACACACACACACACACACACACACACACACACACACACACACACACACACACACACACACACACCATGTATACATCACTTCAGGGGACATTACATTGACTTACATGCATTTCCTGGAGACTTATCCTAACCTTAACCATAACCAACACATGCCTAACCCTATCCCTTACCCTAATCCTAACCAGTAGGCCTACCCTAACCCTAATCCTAAACCTAACCAAGTCTTCACCCTAAAATTAATGATTCCCCTCATGGGGACCTCCAATTTGTCCCCATAAGGGCGGCTAGTCCCCACACGCGACTGTGTAAACAGATTTAGGTCCCCACAAGTATAGTAATGCTAGGCCACACACACACACACACACACACACACACACACACACACACACACACACACACACACACACACACACACACGTATACATCACTTCAGGGGACATTACATTGACTTACATGCATTTCCTGGAGACTTATCCTAACCTTAACCATAACCAACACATGCCTAACCCTAACCCTAATCCTAATCCTAAACCTAACCAAGTCTTCACCCTAAAATGAATGATTCCCCTCATGGGGACTCATTTTGTCCCCAGAGGGGAGGCGAGTCCCCACACGTGACTGTGTAAACAGATTTAATTCCCCACAAGTATTGCAATGCTAGGCCACGCACACACACACACACACACACACACACACACACACACACACACACACACACACACACACACACACACACACACACACACACACACACACACACACACACACACACACACCATGTATACATCACTTCAGGGGACATTACATTGACTTACATGCATTTCCTGGAGACTTATCCTAACCTTAACCATAACCAACACATGCCTAACCCTAACCCTAACCCTAATCCTAACCATTACCCTAACACTAATCCTAAACCTAACCAAGCCTTCACCCTAAAATTAATGATTCCCCTCATGGGGACCTCCAATTTGTCCCCATAAGCGAGGCGAGTCCCCACACGCGACTGTGTAAACAGATTTAGGTCCCCACAAGTATAGTAATGCTAGGACACACACACACACACACACACACACACACACACACACACACACACACACACACACACACACACACACACACACACACACACACACACACACACACACACACACGTCAACTACAACGCTAACTTACTGTATCATGTTTTTATTTAATATTAACAACCAGACAGATGAAAGAGAACTGATTCACGGGGTTAGAACATCTTATCGAGCTTGACACACTCAAGACAAAGGCACTTTGAATCACTTTGTCTTTATTATAGAAAATCAAAGAAAAGCACATCAATGAAACAATAAATAACCAACGAATACTGCTTCTGCATGGATCTGAGTTTTCCATTACTGTTCAGAGCACGTTTGTGAAATTAAACATTCAAGTCATCACATTCCTTCAAGAGAAGCTAATACCTCTAAAATAATACTGATATCTTTTGGTGCACACAGACATTCTTTCAGCTACAGACCTGTTCAAGATGTTTGATGGAAATATAATTATACAGTTGAAAGGTAAGCTGCTTTTTGGTCTTTCACTCACTGTTATTCAAATAAAAAAGTTAGTCACATTGGAATATGTAAGCATAAAAAAACTACTAAGATGGGTGAGGAATCAACAAAAGATAAGGTTTTGTTCTCTCTTATAAGTCATTTTTGCCAAGTCAGTGCACATATTAAGGCTCCGATACAGACTGTAACACTTCTGGCTACATGCTGTCTTATTTATGTCGCCTTCATCCCGCAGAGGCTGGGGAAAAGAGTGCTGCGTTCTTTAATCAAGTCGGTCAGTCAAGAGGCACTAGAGAGCTGTACAATACTGTCAAAGAAAAATCTATAATGTTACAGAACACATTTTCAAATACAAACGTAATACTGTGATACCCTGCTCTTATCAAAACAACAGACCATTTTTCAAACAAGGGAAACACACATTATATTTCATCTGTAGGAGGATCTAAATAGAAAAATATAAGAAATGTAGAAGGTCAATATCTCAGCCCTTAATGTCTTAGGTGATTGGGACCTCAGGCTTCTGTGCACACAGGAGCTTGTAGAACTATTTAACAGCAGGGAGAGTCCTCACCACGCCTAACACGAGGAGGCGGAGAGGTGACCTCTGTGATGCAGAAACAATCCCCAAAAGCTCCAACAAAAACAGTCTTTGTGTATGTGTGAATGTCTGTGCTTCATTCAAGACTTGTGTATTTTTCTTGAACGTGAGTGGGTGTGTTTATGTTCTTCTATGCCTGTAACTGTGCTCGTATGTGTATGTCTGTGCTCGTGTAAATGTATCTGTACATAAACTACAGTCCCCTAGGCGTCCTCTTCAGAAATCTCTCCCCTCTCAGACGTGGGCGCTCTTGGCGTGATTGGTGGAGGCTGCTGCTGGCGGGTTGCCACCGCCTTGTTTGGAGTAGTAGAAACGATTGTTTTCCTGGTAGGAGCGAGATGAGGAGAAGGACTCTGAGGAGCAGCAGGTGAGAATGCACCCGCCCAGCAGGGAGAAGATAGAGCCCACCCATCCGGTGTAGAGGGAGAAGCCGAATGACATGAGGCCGTGCTGCTGGTGAGCGCCGATGGGGAACCAGACTGTGGATACCAAACCGCAAAGTGCTGAGGAGAAACACACAGACACATGGTCATATTACATTTCATTACAAGACATTTTAGTGTGTCAGGTCTCCCTTGTAAATGAGATCGATGATCTCAAGGGACCAATCTGTCTAAATAAAGGTTTGAAATGAAATGAAATGAGTTACATTGAAAATATACAAACTCTGCCTCTGAAAGTATTATAAACAACCACACACATACAAGTAACTCGATTTATTCCGAGTGCAGTTAAATGGGGAATGCAAAAAAATTATACAACACACACAAACACTTTCTATCATTAAACATGGCTAGCTTTGAATGGCACATCACTTCACAAAAGAGGCGGAGCATTTGAAATCTGAATGTGAAAGCTTGTAACTAAATGATGCTGCCACACGTCTTCCACCAACACACAGTGCTATCTTTGCAGGGCAATGATAATAAATAATACAATTAGGGATGCAGAATGGTGCTCATAAATCCTGCCTTTACACAAACATCCTGTAGCATTATCATTCATAGAAGTGACACAAATACAGAATGTTAGTGAATTAAGGTGGTGCAAAAGTATAACGGCACCAATTCTGAATTACTGCGACCAGGGCTAGTGTGAGATATTTAACTCTCACACTATCCCTGGTCACGGTTATTAAACTGTGGAACTGCAGTTTTGTAATCATTTATTCTTTAAACACAACACCTGGGGATGTCAGATTGGAAGAAAGAATGTGTGAAATAATATTAGCAACAAGACTTATTGGTGTTACATACGCTTTGCTTTGAACTACAGAAGAGAGGCAGGATCTAAGACTTGTACAAATATTGAAATCCCTTCACAGCTTATAGGGACGCCCATGGTATATGTTGGATGTTTGCCAGTATGCAACCCAGAAAGGGCAATAACCAAATCCACTGTGGACTGAAATCTTTCCAACTGCTGCTTCAGAGGACACAGTTTGCAAAAATAATTAGAGCTGGAATTAAAATAATTGCTAGTGGGATGATTTTGTTGCCAGTATGGTTGGCAACATGATGATTTGTGCAACAAGCGTTCAAACACACAAACAAATCCTCCCTGATGTAAAAATGTTCCCAGTGACAAAAATACATATTAACTAAGTCAGGTTTTTTATTTTCCTATGCATGTAATGGTGATGTTTGAAAGTGGAAAAAACGTGGGCAGTGGAGAATTCATATGACAGACACAGGTGTTCAAATTCATTTAACGGATGTGGGCGTTGGAAAACTTCAGCAGGACCAATCAAATATGTATAAGCAGAGTCAACTGGACAATTCAAGAAATCAGTTTCCATGTGTTTTAGGACAAAGGCAGGGTGTGGATGAGAGTAGGTGGAGGAGAGGAATGTGAGGGGATCTAGGGGGAGGGTTCAATGAAACAGCAACATATAACGTGTGTGAGTCCATCTGTGTGCACCCTTGGGAGGAAGTCAGTCATATTCTCTGCTCTCAGCAGCTTGTAAGCATTTGAGGTGGGGTTAAAAGAGGTCGCAGGCAGGAAAGTTAGACAGGATCCTAATGTGTGCCTGTCAGCGTTAAACAGCTCCCCCTGCTCTGAATTACTCTATATTTTGTCTGACTGTGACATTCCATCTTCATCCAGTACTGAATGAAGTAAAGTTGAGTCTCTTACCGACTATGAGAACAAGCACACCTCCCAGGATGATGCGTTTGTTCTTGGAGGCCTGGGGTTCATTTCCGAGGCTGATGCAGGGCATGGACATGAGGATCATACCCAGTGCTGGGAGACCCAGGATCGAACCAGTGATCATCAGGGCACGAGCCGTCTGGATGTAGGCTTTAAAAACACATATAAAATGACTGTCAAAAAACCATCTTCATATCACAGAGTTAAGATTGTGGGTATTGTTTCATGTGAGGTAGGAAAATAAGAAACACAGTGGGGAAAAAACGTGTAAATAAACTGCATAATTCCAGCTGAGAAAAATAAATACATCTTAATGTGTCTAAATGATAACAAAAAAACCCACATTGGTTTGGGGGAGATGAACACAGAACTATGTCTACCTGGCAGGTCCAGGATCTGCGTCAGGGCGATGCAGTGGTAGAGTCCAGTGGAGATGACACATTCCGCCCAGGGTCCTTTGGCTTCCAGCTCATCCATCTTCTTGCATGTGTTCAACCCGTATTTACACATAATCACCCAGTCATTGGTGGCTGTTGCGATCACGATGCCCAGCCAGCCGATGCAGGTGATGAGAAATCCGCTCAGTTGAAGACAAGAGTTTGCCATGGCGCAAAGTGTGCGTAAAGACCACTTTTCCCACGTCAAAAACCGTTAGAAACCGTAAAAATGCAGTTGAGTTATTAAACAAATTAACTGATTTTAGAAGTGATATTCCACAAGTTAATCCAGTGTCAAAGTTTACTTTTCCCCTCGCAGTTCAGTTAGTCCATCAATGGAGCTGTGGTGCGCACTTCAGAAGAATGAAGCTCTCTCATCATGGTTTTATAGGGGAGAGTTTATGAAGGGAAAAACTACTCTAAAAGTGACAACCAATCAGAAACTTAGATAGGGATTTTGTTTTCAAGTTAGAAAATAACACACCCTCTGCCCCTTCATTGCCTCTAATGATAAAACCCAGCTGCAGGGTGGACTCACTGTGATGGAGCTGAGGAGATGTAGCCTAAACTCTGCTGCCATCTACTGGCCATTTTATAAAGGCCGATCACACATCTGTATTATACCTGTTATACCCGCACAATACATGGTTTGGATCGAGACATCTGTATTATACCTATTATACCCACACAATACTGCATTTGGATCCATAAAGAAGCAGTGCTGGGAATATATAGCAGGGGTGGAAGTAACGAATACCATTACGATCTATTGTAGATACTTCAACAAACTGGGAGGCTATTTTGTGCATTTTTTTCAGACCTTTTCTTGCACTTAATTATTTCTACCTCAATATGTATTGTACTTCACCACATTTCAAAACAGTTACCGAGTAAAAACAAAAGTCACGTGAAAAAGTCATGAAGTAAGAAAGTTGGTAGGGGACTTCACTCTGGTGGGGGTGTTTGAAGTGTTCACCTTCAGGGGATCTCTGGGGGGCGGTGACATAGAACAATGCAAGAAAATGTACTGATGACATAATACGGGTAGGCCTATAGGTTTTTGGTAGTGTTAGCATGAAGTTGTTCTCATCATAAGGGAAACGAGACTTGCATCTAGGTTTAAAGGTATTTTATTTAAATGATGCACCACCCGCCGGGCTTGTTCAACGACTCAAATCGAGCACACCCACAGAGCAACAGGTGGACGCTGGATCTGGCAAAAATGTAAAACTTATTACAACGCTTCACCTACAATGCTCATGTTGGATCCTCCAGATGTGACTTCCACATGTGCACAGGAACTTCCACTTTCAGTCAGGTGTGTGACAATTTTGTGCTGATCTGAAACTAATACTGGATATAAAGCAGAGCCTCATTCAGCTCTAAATGTTTGACAAGTTTGAGGAACACAGTGGCCCAAGAGAGACCGAATGCTGTGCTATTCTGCGACAGAGAGGCTAAGACTAATCAGTGATTTCAGAATGAATGAAACCATAAACAAATCACGGAGGACTTCGCCATGTATGAGACTCCAGCCTGGTGAGTAGGCCTACAACACACATGGATGTTACTCAAAAGCTGAGCAGCAGCTGTTTTTGCTTTATTGTGTGTGTTTTGCTGTGGAGGTTATATTGTCTATATATCTCTGTGTTGTGTGTTGGCTGCCATTGTGAGGCTTTATTCTGCTGGGAAAGAGTCAGGTTGATGTTACTTACATTTGTTTTTGTGCACCCTTTGCTGTGTCTTTGGTTGATTGCTATACATTTGTATTTTACTTGGTCAATTCCTTAAAGCTGGAGATGCTTTTTGTTTTGTTCTAAGCTTAGGCTGTAATTTCCTTCGCACTATTTATATTTGTGTGTGTACTGTTGTTTTGCAGGCCCCTATCTACCAGTGGTTGAAAGTACTTAATTACAATGTTGAGTTACGTACTTTACTTGAGTGTTTCCATTGAGTCCTACGTTAAACTTCTACTATACTAAATTTAAAAGGGAAATAATGTTTTCTACTCCAGGACATTTATTTTAAAGCTTTTCAGATTTAAGATTTAGCTTTTAAAAAAATGATATACTTTAGACATATTGCATCTAGACCAGTGGAATAATTGCTTGAGGTGAACAAAGGTAAAGTTATCAAATATGAATATTTACGTTAAAATATCTTTACAATAATATACAGCTTAATCCAACAAAATAAAAGATAATGTCATTTATTTGCGATAATATATTCCTATATGGAGGCAATTTTTTGCACATTCATTAATTTTATTTCTGAAACTTTAAGTACATGTTGCTGGTAATACTTCTGTACTTTTACTTTAGTAAGAAATTGAATGTGAGACTTGTACTTGTCATGGAGTTTTTTGACATAATGTCCCGGTACTTTTACTCAAGTACAGGATGGGAATACTCTTTCCACCACTGCTTTCTACAGTCTATATCCTCCTGGGACCCAGCCCATGCATCTCCTTTGACTCTTTTGAGCTACTCTATCAATCCCTGATGTACTGTACAGAGGACATCCTGGTCTTTCCAGTGATATGTCATTGGTTAAAATTGCATGCTGGGAAGTTCCTCTTTCTTTTCATCCAAAATGGCTGGCATACCAAAAACAAAGTGTTATAGAAGCAGGAGGAGAAGTCAAATATTGTTGAATAATTGTAATTTTTACCATGAAAATCATATATATTCTTGTTTATTAACATGTGAGGAACTATATAATTAGTTCTGAAAGCAATTAAATAATTCAAGTTTTCAAATAACAGCCCTTTTATAAATGCCCATTCTAGTGGACGTCAGGACCATCTTCATGGACTTAATGACTCAATATTGTTGCAAGGAGACGGAACTGATGCAGACATTTTCTGTACCAGATAGTTAAGGGAGATTAAGATTTTGAGCTCTCAGATGATGAGAGAGATGAGGATTTCACACCTGGGGGTCAAGAAGAAGGGGAAAAAAGATGCAGGAGGGTCCATGAGCGCACAGATACAGACAGAGAGACAGATTGGGGCGAGCTGGAAAGACATGGCCCTCTGTGGGCCAAGAGCACGTATTTCTTATTGTTGTTTTTATTTTAAGTGGAGCCATGAAAAATGAGAATAGCCTCAGGAATGCAAGCTTTGTTTGAGCGTGGTCAAATGGAGACCACATCCATAAAACTAGTCGAGATGACCCTACAGCCCGTGCCGACTGGAGTCAATGAGGTACTTTTCCCATTACATTGACTACAAAGTCTTTGAAGATCTGGAAAGATTCACCAAAAACCAAACTAGTTTTTTAGTGACCAAATAAACAGCCATGTTCAGATCAATTACTTATTCATGTTTTAAATAAAGGTGAATGTATTATTGTATTAATATCCCTCTATAACCATAATACGTTACATAGTCTATCTGTTCATTTTGGCTGTCTTTTCAAACTAATATGGTCCCGACGTCCTCTACAGTGGACATACTGTAACATTTTAAAATAAAATAAAAAAAGTCTAAATTGCAAGATGTTTTTTTTAACCCTAATTAGGTAGGAAATCACAAAAAAAAAGGAAATTGGAAGACACTTTTTTCCCTTGGGTCCCAGGAGGATACTGTATAGTCCCTACATTTTTGATTGCTCCATACTAACAATGACCAACAGAGGGCGTCCCAGCCCAGCACTGCTCTGTAGTTGATATTCATGTATACTGCCAAGGCACACNAAGGGGCTACAGACTCAAGCGAGTTCACAGAGAGCCGGATCTGAAGGGTCAGACACAGGAAGTGACATCTCCAAGTTGGGGGATTTTATGGGGACATGAACTTGGAGATGTCACTTCCTGTGTCTGACCCTTCAGATCCGGCTCTCTGTGAACTCGCTTGAGTCTGTAGCCCCTTTCACACCAACATGGTTCCAGGGCCGGTTCAGAGCTAGAGCCTGATAAGCACCGTTTTTTCCTGTTCACAAAACAGCGGAGTGAAAACCGGTGCTTACCAAGCACCAAACATTTTCGGCCTAGAAGCAGGAACCGCATACGTCACGCTTACGTCGGAGGGGGGCGAGATTAACCTGAACTAACAGTTAAAGGCAGGTAAGGCAAATCAAAGTTGTAACAAGCAGTAGTGCTGAGCAAAGTGACTAGAACGCAACCACACACGCAATAACACACTTTATAAAGTCAGGCAACACTAACCAGGCTTTGTGTGATTCTGTTTATTTGCACCTTACTTTGACCATCCGTTCGCTGTCATTGATCATTATGGAGAGCTGGCAGACATTTTGTTTTGTATTATAGCAGCTATCGGATGGAACCAATACATGGTCTGCACAGGTTGTCTTGCCGACTATCACAAGTAGAATCATAATGAAAAATACGCCGGTAAAATGGGCCTGTAGAAAACGGCTTATGCCACAATAGGATAGCAACAAGTAGTCAAGATAGTCAGTTTAGCTTCGGTTGCTATGCTAACATCACCCATTTTATACCAGAGAAACTTTAATAACAGTTTGTGATTCCAAACCGTGTTGTGACTGCAGCGGTTGGTAAATGCAGCTGAAACACATTAATAAACAATGAACCACGGCACTTTGTAGAAAAGTATAAGGGTTGAGAAGTAGTTATTTAATTTAATCTGGCTTTGTATGATTGAAAGCAACACGATCATCGACACCGTTGGGGAGAAAATCAGCGACGTAAACGACGACGTCATGACGCAGCCGCGGCAGCACCAGTCGGGCTCTGGGCGGTGTGAACAAAACGGGGGCTGAAAAGAAAAACCGGTTCCGAACCAGAAGAGCACTAGCACGGAGCTAGAACGGGAACCGCGTTGGTGTGAAAGGGGCATGAGAGGAGGAAGGTGATGGAGTTTAGTTTTCCTGGCACAACAAACTATTTCCACCCTCACTCTGTCTGTTAGCAGCAGAAATAAACTCAGTGAAACGACACTTCCACTTTCCTGCAGAGGCCCGATTCCCCCCAACTCTTCCTCACTCAGCTGGAGCCGTGGAGGCTTTAATGCTGAGGGTTTGATTCCTCTCTCCTGCTTTTATTAACCGTTCCGTCGGCTGGAAACGCATTTATAACAATCTTTTTCTTGTATTTTCTCCGTCTGTTTCTGGGGTTTTGTCGGGACACGAAGCTTTGTGGCGTTGAAAGCGTCCCCTTGCTCTGCCTCTCGTCTCAGATATGGCTGCTGGCTTGTTTCAGACAGGATTGTACTAACATGGAGCTGGCAGAGAGGCAGGACATATTTTCCTAAGTGAGGTTGATTAATGGAGTGAGGAGAGAACAAGGGGGGAGAGGAACAGGAGCGAGGAGAGGGAGAAATAACACTAAATGTGATTGCAAGGGGTGGGTGATAAATCTAACATCACAGTTTACGTTATTCTACATCACAGTAACGGTTTATATCACAGCAATTGTTCTGTACATTTTAACTCTCTATGACAGTAAACTGGATATCTTTGTCGATAAAACAGGACATTTGAGGACATCATTTTTGGCTTTTATCCTAAGAATTTCTAGTAAATGGATCTTATTTTGGGTTGCTGAGCCAAAGCCAAGAGCATAATAGTGCCTGATGCATAAAAGTTTGACATCTTGAAAAAGAGATTGATGTTCCTTTAACCACACGGTTTAGTGGCTTGTTATATCATCCTTTGGTGGTGGTTGCTCGGTGAGTAAGGAAACACTACAAATGTTCATGTGTTCGTTCAGGTTAATAGTAACCGTAGATTGTATTAACCAGACTGCACACTCTTACTGTGAAATGCAGAAACGTCATCAGCAGGACATGCTCTCCAATACGGAAGAGGGTTAGGGCCACATTTCTTTTTATAACCGAACAAAAAAGATTTTTTCTGAATTTTAACTCAAAGGGGACCTATCATGCAACATTCACTTTTTGATGTCTTTTATACATATGTGTCCCCGGTTTGTCGGGTAACTCACGCAGCGTCAGAAAATAAAACTCTCTTTTCCTCCGTACCCAAATCTTTTAAAAACGGGGCTACAACGAGCGGATACAGATTTGCTGCCGGTATTACGTAATTTCCAGTGGCGAGCCGTGACTTTTATACCTAGGCCCTCTGACCCCCCCCCCCGAACACCTGAAGGGTCAGCAGTGTTGACCAAACACTCCTCAGAGGTCATGTGACTCGCAGGTGTCTGCAGGCTGCACCGTGACCCGGAGAGTTAGCGGAGCTGCTGGAGGCTAATTCAGCCTCAGAGCCAAACTCATACCCTCCTTCCTGCACATTTAACAAGCCCACATTCCTCCTGTGAACTCCCAGACTTCTTCATGGGTCGACTCAAAAGCCTTCTGACATTTTCAGCTGTCTGGTCCTGTTAAAACTGCACTAAGCAGAAGTTTTTTTAGTAAAACTTATTTGTATCAGCTTAAAACACATTTGTGCCATTCTCCTTCGACCACACAATATATTAAGACCCTTTGTCTGTGTCCAGTTTTCAGAATTATAATAGGTATATTAAAAAGGTCATCGTTCTCAGTTACCCTTTGCTAAAATTTGGAGAAATGACATTTCCCTAAAAGCTTTTGGGTTTCCTTTCGGTAATGTTTTTGGATGTGTTGAACCACAGTAAGTGGTGGGAAAGTGGAAAAAGGAAGGGAGAGAGGGGCCGAAAGTCCAGTGTGGACAGAAATACTGTGAGAAACCGAACCAAGAGAAAACAGCCTTACGTAACATTTGAATATTACAGAGTATTCAGGTTACGGTAGGGCAATACGGCCACATATACAGTATGTGGTCATCTAAATATGGAGTTGCACAATATGACTGCAAAGACACTAGAAACAAATGCACAATATAACCACTTATCGACCTCAAAGAAGAAGTAGTCATGTGTGAATTATGTGGAAGAGGCGGAGGGGTATTCTGTTGTTTGTGTCCTACTATTGTGTACGATAGTAAGTATTGCGGACAACAACAAGAAAATACAGTCACACCAGCGTTCATAACACACAAGGCGTCTGCTGACCTTTACTGGAATAAAGAACAGGAGAATCTCCAATGAATGCATCCTAAACAAGCTAGGAAAGAGCAGGCGTCATATTGCTGTAATATACATCTTCTGCACCGTGTTGAGCATGTGTACATTTGATTAAAACAGACTCAGTTTGGCTTGTGAGAGGGCCTTAAAACAGCTTCACAGACCCCAGCATGTGATGTAAACAGCTGTTTCACAGTGAAAGTGTTTCTTGAAGCATCATTAGCTAAAGCAGTGGAGCAGCTTACAGGCAGTTTGCAGTATAAATACACTACTTCTCTGTGTATAGTAGTGGGTACTGTATGTGTGATCCTGCTGTCCTCGTACAATTTGTGTCAGAGCCATATGTGCTGTGAAACTCTGAGAGCTGTGAGATCGACTCCTGCTCGCCAACAACCAGAAATATTCTCATTTAAACTCTGTCTGTTTCGCTCTGAGTGCAGCGCGTCAAAGTGAAACTGACTGGTTCAGGAGGATCTCCTACATAGGATATAAAAGGGAGACAAACTTTTCTTATTTGACATTTTGTTCAGAAGTAAAAAGTTATTTCTCAAAATGTTTTGCGATTATAATTTAAGAATAAAAAGAATTCTGACTTTCTTTCAGGACTTATAGTGTTCAGATTTCTTTCTACCCAAAAAAAAAAAAAAAATGTTTAGTCATATTTTTCATTAGTTTCACCAAAATAACTTGATTTAATTGTATTTAAAATAAAATGTCCAAATAAATAGCCTGTTCAGTTTCTGTTGGAATGTTAAGGGTTAAATGAAAGAAGCTCGTCTCTGCGAGTTTCTGTGAAGACAGGAGCTGTTGGTGGTCCTGCTGTAAATTCACAGAGGGCCCGCTATAGTAACTCAACGAGAGAGTAATGTCAAATGACAGTACAATTGACCAATCATATCTTCCCTCTAAATGGGTGGGCTTTAAGTTCCGCCGCTGTGAGGTTTATACATATAATATATATATAACATATAAAGTGGTGCAGTGACGCGTCCTAAAACGCGTCCTAGAACCCGGAAGTAAGCTGCGCTGGGGTTCCCTCGACAAAAAAGCCTACCCTACTTTTATAATTTTCTAATAAATCTAATCGATAGATTTATGATTAGCATAAGTTCGTTCATGATGGCTCATGTCAGTGATGACATCGTTGCAAATTTATTAACCGAGTCATTTTCAAGATTGAGTTACAATGATAAACTTGAGTGGCAAAGGATCAGCTGAATGACCCGCCATCAAGTGCTTCATCCAAAAGGACAGGAGGATGGACTCTGTGTGATTTGATCATCAGAGGTAGGCCTAAGTCATTTTCAATGTGGGCCGCCGTGCCGACTTAATTCATTTGTAATTGTTACTTGGCTGTGGGTGCCCTGTCATGATAGGTGTTTCTATAAATGGTGTTGTTTTGTGTGGTAGAGGGTCGCTGTCATTGATGCGTTTGCACCCCGGGCCGTTGTTTTGATATTCCGCTGAAGTATACGCTGTGACGTAATATCTCTTCATTTATTTTTGTTGCGAGGGAAGGGGGGGGGGGTGGGGTCAGAGGGCCTAGGTATAAAAGTCACGGCTCGCCACTGGAAATTACGTCTGAGACTGCCAAGGCACACNAGTCATGTGACCGTGCTGTAGTTCCTTTATAGCCCAACATTAGCCACCTTTAGCTTAGCGGTGGTGACGTGAAGTCATGTGACCGTGCTAAAGGAACTACAGCACGGTCACATGACTTCACGTCACCACCGCTAAGCTAAAGGTGGCTAATGTTGGGCTATAAAGGAACTACAGCACGGTCACATGACTTCACGTCACCACCGCTAAGCTAAAGGTGGCTAATGTTGGGCTATAAAGGAACTACAGCACGGTCACATGACTTCACGTCACCACCGCTAAGCTAAAGGTGGCTAACGTTCGGCGTGATGAAGTTTAGTCTTCTCATTTAGACACATTTAGAAACCAACGTTTTTAAATTCACCAGTGGAGTATTTACAGGCGTATTTTATGTCGCGGAACAAAGTCTGTACATCTTTTCAGCTTGTGTTAACCACAGACCTTATTTCCGTCTAACGAACAAAAACCCACTCAATGCATTAATCTTGCAGCTGCAGCCGGTGGAGCAATAACTCCAGGTCGTGAACCGCAGAGCACCCCCCCCCCAATGTTGGGCTANCGCATCGGAGGAGTAAGCTGGTTCTGTCCCGAGAACATCTCTACAAGGTACTGTAACTATGACGAACATTTGATGACATTAAATAACTTTAAATAACTTTTACCTTGTAGAGATGTTCTCGGGACAGAACCAGCTTACTCCTCCGATGCGGGAAGAAAATATGGTAGAACCCCTCCCCCCCTCCTTTGTTTAAAAAAGAAAAAGCTTCACATTTTTTAAAATAAATATATTTTGCAATTTTTTTCTGCTTTACATCTTGTCCATTAAAGTGCCATATTGTTCAGGTTCAATTACGAAACTATTAAAGTACGGGTTTGAGTCCGACCATATTAATTTGTGAATAAAATATTCGTAAATAATAATTAGAAGCTGAGTAATCGGCTGCAGAGCAAGCTGCTGACGTATGTGCTCAGTGGGCGGAGTTACAGAGATAAACATAACTTTTTTCTTATTTCTTAACATGATTGAGAACGTACAGCCCTCAAGATTAAAATAGTTCTACATGATTGATTCATGTTTCGACGAGAAACATGAATAAATTATCTCATATATTAACTGCATATTTGCAAATTGAACAACCCCACTTTCCCCTTTTTTTCAGTGTGGCAGGGTGGAGGTGAAACAGGGAGAGGGGGGTCTGGAGGAGAGTGTGTCATGTGTGTGTGTATTTGTGCATTATTGATCAGCTATCACATTAAAATAATTATCAAACAACACAGGGTAATACAAAATAAAAGTACAGCAATAAAAGAAAAATGCCATAAACGTGATTTGAACACACACTGTAAAATAGATAAATAAATAAATACAAATATATCAAACCTATGAATACAATAGTGTAGAAAGTCATGTTTGTGATGCTGCTGCAAACAGCGGAACCAGGCTATTCACTGCCTGAAGGAAGCAGGAGAGCAGGGGGTGAAAAGGGTATTACTCAGATCCTTTATTGGGGTAAAAGTAGAATTAATGTGGTCTTAAAATACTCCATGACAAGCAAAAGTCCTGATTTCAATGTTTTACTTAAGTAAAAGTATAAAAGTATTAGCATCAATAAGTAAAAGTACTCATTACACTGAAACGTTGACTTGAATTAAATGCATTATGTCAACGCATTTCACATAACTGTATCAGGTTAGTTAAAAGCAATGATATTAAGTTGAACCTAATATTTGTGAATCTGTTTTTGAAAATCAAACATTAAGAAAAATTGGTAGATTCTGCCTTTTAAAACGACTCCTACTCAACAGATGGCACAGCATCCTGCCAGATTAAAACTCCTCTACTCTTTCATCACATCACTGTTTATGAGATACAAGCTCACAAACACTCACCTTCTCCACCTCCTTTACTCCTCCTCTCTGACCAAACTGTCATCATAATTGATTGATTGAATTAGCAGTCAGAGCCTGAGGAGGAAACACTGTTTCTGCAAGGTTTCTGTCGATCTGACACACGTGAGCTGAAGTGGGCCGAATCCAGAGTGAGGCATGAACAGAGCTGACGGACACACATTTTCAGAGTGCACTGCTTCTACACTGGATCGGAAAATAGAGGTCACTCTCAAAATATTATTTTTTACATTTCTTTTTTGAAAAACAGGATAAGATTAAAACAAGAGGTAAGGTCTGTGCATTGACAAAGTCAGAAATAATACTTTGTATTATTATTGATATTTCTGTGCAGAACCAAAAGCTTTTAAAGGGGGTTAAAGTTGCATTGTGAACATGTACTACCACAGCACTACCATGAAACAGGAAGTTGATTCAATTTGAGATTACATTTTCACCAATGCTAAAAAAACGATACCCGATTTACATACAAATCCCAATGTGTGGTCTACACATGAGCGACACAGGAAGTGATGCAAGAGTTCAAAATGTGCTTTCCATGGTCACAGCAATGCAGTCCAGCCTCCACCTGCCCGTTCATCGCTGCAGCTTCAACGTTTAAAGTGTAATTACAGCCCCTCATATTCTTTTAAAAATACGCTACAACAAAGAGTCATACAAAATAACTTAACACAACATATACCATTTTATGACCAAAACACTCTGATACAAGTGGTGCTGCTCTGTAAATCTATGCTATCATCTCTGCTATTGGCTAACGTTAGCGGTTATTATCCCAGTTTGAATTGTTGGGTCCAATCAAGATTACAAATGTTACTGTATCAGTAAATAATTTGAGCTTTACTGATTTGGCCTGGGTCAGAGCCATCACAATGCTAACTGTTGACTCGTTGTTTTATGTAGCTTACTAGCTAACACGATACCACATTTAAATAAAAAAACATTTGTAGATAGAATTTAGATTTAATTCACATTTGACTGAGGTTAGCAGTTCCCCCTGCTTCCAGTCTTTTAGCTAAGCTATAGGCAAAAGGACCAGAACCTCCTCATGCACTGCCAACAGGTATGAAATTATAGTTTGTTAGATAAGTAATGTTTGATTAACCAGAATATTTCTTCCCAGACAGACTGTCCAAAATGGCAGTAGTTCATTCATAGACATAAACATTTGCTACAATAACATAGGACCAGAACGTCATTAAGGACGGATCTTAAATATTTTAAATAGTTACATTCTTCATAAGCAGGTATTTTACCAATAGTGGCTTTAAATCTTCCACGATGTGTCTTTAGTCCATGCTTACTTCCTGTCCTCCTCCTCCCTCCCACAGACAAGCTGTGCTTCAACTCCTTCTTCAACAATGAGGACATGCAGGAGATCACCAAACACTTTGTGGTGTGCCACGTGGACGCACCAGGGCAGCAGATAGGAGCCTCACAGCTGCCCCCAGGGTACACACACACACACACACACACACACCCCCACACACACACACACACACACACACACACACACACACACACACACACACACACCATTTTCACTGAAACATTAACTTTAGGACGATGGGAACTGGAAGTGGTAACATGCTAACATATTTCCAGGTTTTAGGACTCATTCCTGCACCACTCTTTGCTGTAGTCAAGATTTTCTTTTAACGATTTGCTCAAACTCAGTTTTAAGTATTCCTACATGCTGTCTCATTATAGCAAAAACAGATGATCACACACATAAACAGCATGTGAAGCGATGATGATGATGATGATGATGATGATGAAGGTGTGTCCTTCTCTCCACAGGTACCAGTACCCCACCATGGACCAGTTGGCCGGGATGCTGCCCACTGTGGTGCAGCACTTTGGGTGTGTAATTTGAATCTAACATATTCCACATTTACCAGACAGCAAACAAAGCCAATGTTTTATAAGAGCCACCTGCAGGGACATCATGTCCTGTTCATGCTGTGAAGAACAGGCATTATTGTGTTGTTGCACAAACTACATCAATCAGCAGATTTATCGCTGCAGTTTTTGCCTTTACACCAACACTTTTTGTACATACAGAAAGATCATGAGCATGCAATTGTATTCAAGTTAATGAGGAATTACAGAAATTAGACCACAGTTCCTTTTAGAAACAAAACCACTCAACACTTTTTATTATATGCAACAACATATAGGCACAGCAGAGTGTCATTACACTGTCAGAATAAGTATATCCATGTTGCCTCGATATATATCCACGATTAACAATTATTCATCATTAAACTATTGCCTCTAATGGATTTTCTTTCTAGATTTAAGAGCATTGTTGGGATCGGAGTTGGAGCTGGAGCTTACATTCTGGCCAAGTTTGCTGTGAGTCACATCCTGATTACCTAAAGTGTACTTTACTGATCAGAATGAGTCTAGTACTGGATTCACACACTCAGGGTTGTCAGCAGCCTCAGGTCTCAAAGATGTGTCCATGTCTTCTGCTCACAGCTGATCTTCCCTGACATGGTGGAGGGTTTGGTCCTGCTCAACATCGACCCCAACGGCAAAGGCTGGATTGACTGGGCTGCCGGCAAGGTGCCTTCTCTTACTATGTATTCCTTGTTTCAGTTGGTGCTTAAGCATTGGAATCCCAGGGCTGCTTTTTATTTTCTGACAATGTCCTCTCCCCCCCAGCTGACAGGTCTGACCAGCGCTCTGCCAGATACTGTGCTGCCTCACCTCTTCAGCCAGGTACGCTCTGGGTCTGGGAACTAAGATACCCAGTAAATGTTTGTAGGTGCAATTACAGTTTTCTTTATGTTCAGATAGATGGATACTGTACTTTATTAATCCTGAATTGGGAAATTATTTTGTCAAGCATTACACAAGTTAAAACGTAGTAAAAGATAGAATAATATACAAATGTGATACAAATTATCATTAGCAGCAAGTATATACAAATTCACAATAGAAAAATACCTATCACTATTTGATTTTTCTCACTGTAAGGGGGCCACACCTCAGGCCATTATGATTATAATTTATTATTCTTATTCATTTTCTCTCTGTGCTTTTATTTTATATAATATAATACCAAGTAATTGGTATGTAAGCTGAGATATACATAGATACCTTGCTACATGATAAAGGTGAGATTATTGTCCCCCATGGAGAGATGTATGTTATATGCGCAGCAACTATTCTGCACACATTTGAGTATGTATGCAGGTGTACAGTATGTTGTATGTATGTATGTATGTATGTATGTATGTATGTATGTTTTGTCTGAATGTTTACAAAAATGACAATAAAAAGAGTATTACAAAAAAAAGAAAGAAGAAAGGACCTATCACTAGTGTCAATCAGTCCAATTTTAATTATATATAGCCCAATATTAAAATTCTCAAGGGGCTTTACAGGATGTACAGCATACAACACCTTAGAACCTTGCTGCGCTCAAGGAAAAACTCCAAAGTAAACATGTTGTACACTGCTGGAAGAGCATCAGAGGAGGTAGAACAGAACCATGTGAGGTGTGGTGTATAGAATAAAAAGATAAGAACATTTACAAGATAGAAAATCAAAATGACCAAAATCATATTGTGAATGTATATTACAAGAAAGTTGTATCCAAAAGGATGTAAACAATCTGGCAGGTGTAGCAAAAAACGTAACTTTTGACCCTGGCAACCTGCCACGTGATGATGCCCGGGTGGCTGAGTTAGCTAAATGTATTCATGGGAAATGAGTGGCAACAGAGAAAGAGAAATAGAAGAAGAGAGATGAAAGGTGAATGCCCCCTGACAGTCTAACCCTGCATCAGCATAACACTGGGCTGCTACGTCCACCCTGAGCCAGCCCTAACCATACGCTTTATCAAAATGGGTATTTTCTGGTACTTAAAATATGAAAAACAAGGAATGGAAAAAGGCATTTCTAACTCTACAAACAAATACTATATGTATCAGTTTCAGGCAGATATTGACCGTGTGTGTGTGTGTGTGTGTGTGTGTGTGTGTGTGTGTGCGTGTGT